TTTACAGTCATTCCACCCACCCACCCACCCCACCCTTGGATAAAGGGTGTCCAATCGTCTTATTTCACTCTTGATCAGAAAAGATAGTCACTGCATTCCAGTCCCCCTGCCCCATTCAAATGCACCTATCTCTTCACGGCGCAGAAGAAGTTACAGAAAAGCTGTTGACATTGTGCCATGTTGAGGTAATAAAACTATCACGGGACAGCACGTATTAGAACACGTTTTGAAGCGTATTGTAGATTTGTTATATTGTACGGTCAGGTTGTATCCACAGAGAAACAGTCCGTAACTACTTTCAAATAGGCTCTCTTAGGAGAGCAATATTGTCTGGGGAATGATCTCACTGACGGAAGATGATGTGTTTGGGTCGAGTGAGAGAAAAATGTCCTGAACGNNNNATCTTAGGTCTGACCTGGATCATGTTATGATCAATGATGCACAAAGGTGTCGGCTTCATTTGTGGTTATCGGACCTAGATGAGAGATTCCTCTATTTGGTTCAATAGTAAGATCAATGAGGTACAGACAGAAAAAAAATTGTAGGTGGTATGATTAAAGTCATCAACTATTAGGTGCAAGATGTCAGTTAACAAGAGATGGGTCAATAACTGGTAGGAAGTGATCAGAAAATGTGTTGTTATCTGGTCACCTAAAATAAGGTGCAATGTGTAACTCGGTGATGGTGAAATAAGAAACAGCGGGACACATTTGTGGTGACATACGACAGTCAAACAATCAATAGCATTTAGTGAATCCTGGACAGATATTTCGAAATTGCCGCACAACTTAGAATTATTATAGATATTAACACCTCCCATTTTCCTCCTGCATCGGTTTTTTTCTATCCTGTCTGGAATAGACATAACTATTCTGTCAAATCACAGAGTCATTCAAATCATCATCATTAAGCCATAACTGCTGGAAACAAAAGATAAACATGAATTGCGGAATTACCTTCCGCTTGTGCAGGGAGGATTAATCCGAAAGTCTCCTAACAAAAAAAAGCGGATATTGTTGCAATCGCAGGTAAAGCCATCTATTTGGGAGTTGTGCGATCGAGAACAATTTAACCAAACGGCACATATACATTTTACCCGCTTGTAGTAGTATGATGCGATTGTATTATGCGACTGTATTACACGCAATGCAGCATGATTTGCTATCATAGCCTCCCTAATTTTAAACATGAATTCGTTTGTACATTTGAGTGAAACTTTCGTGGTCAATGCATTGTGGAATGCAACGGTGGCGAGGAACAGTAGAGCAGCCGTTCAAAGTGCCCGCGTTGTAATGGCTGACGTGCCGAAATTGGATGAGGTACCGCTAAATCAGATAGATCTGTTAAAGTCAGTTTGTATTTCATGATACAAAGAGAAACGGTGTCAAGATCGATTGGGAATACGTCAGTAGTTGATAGGAAGTATCACGCATATTAGGCGTGTGGGTGATCGTATCCGACTGGAAACCGCCTGGTCTCGATCCGATCAGTCTTCTTCAGTAATGTTCAATTTCGGATTGACAGGGTTGCACTTCTAAAATGTAATTGAATTCATCCTACTTGATCTCAGCTAGCAAAACATGCAGCCAGACTTGCGGGAAAGTTTGTACGA